AACTTTGCAGTGTGCTGCGTGGTAGCAGCTTCTGTTCCAAATAGTACATTACAGCTCAAGTAGCAACAAGAATCCTAGAATCCTAGAATCAACTGGGCTGGAAGAGACCTTCAAGATCATCAAGTCCAACCCTACTGTGGTTACTAGACCATGGCACTAAGTGCCACATCCAGTCTCAGCTTGAAAACCTCCAGGGATGGTGAATCCACCACCTCCCTGGGCAGCACATTCCAATGTCTGATCACTCTCTCTGTAAAAAATCTCTTCCTAATATCCAACCTAACCCTCCCCTGGCAGAGCTTGAGTCTGTGCCCTCTTGTCCTGCTGCTGGTTGCCTGGGAGAAGAGACCAACCCCCACCTGACTCCAACCTCCTGTCAGGGAGTTGCAGAGGGTGAGAAGGTCTCCCCTGAGCCTCCTCCTGAACACCCCCAGCTCCCTCAGCCTCTCCTCATGGCACTTGTGCTCCAGTCCCTTCACCAGCCTCGTTGCTCTTCTCTGGACCTGCTCCAGCACCTCAATATCCCTCCTGAACTGAGAGGCCCAGAACTGAGCACAGGATTCAAGGTGTGACCTCACTAGTGCCAAGTCCAGGGGCAGAATCATCTCCCTGGTCCTGCTGACCACACTGTTCCTGATCCAGGCCAGGATGCCATTGGGTCTCTTGACCAATGAATGCAAATTTCTTGGCCAAGAAGTGCAAAGAAACTCATTAACATTTACAAAGCATCAGCAGTTTATACAGATGTTTGCTCTTTTTTAAAGGCAATAAAAGTTGGTCTGTGACTACCTTTAAGGCAGCTCAGGGTATAGTACAAAGTGGCAGATACAAAGCTATCCTGGGACCCTATGGGATTCCAGAGCTCCTGTTTTAACTAAGTTTCAGTTCTGAAGTTGAACTGACAGAAAAGAATGTGATACCTTTGAAAATGACTTCAAACTTTTGTTTCTTCCCCCCCTTGGAGTGCCCTCATTACCATTCCACAAGTGCACAAACACTTCTGTGGTGGTTATGTCAAGGCTACAAACTCAGTCAACAGAGCTGAGCAGTATTTGAAGAGTCTGCAATGCTCTAAGAATCAACAATGAAACTTCCTCACTGAATGCACAGAAAATGCAGATTGCTGCATAATTCACATATGAAATTCACATTTCTATACAAATTCACCCACACTCATTTTTTCTCAAGTAAAAATCCAACACATCCAGTACTAAGACATGATAATTTAGGTAGCATAGATATGAAACAACAGTATTTTTTCTCAAATACCCTACCGAAGTGCAGCACTCTGTTTAATTAGGAAGCACTCTGCATGCAGTACACACTACACCCTCAAGTGCTAGTGGCAAATTCAGGATGCATTTCTCACCTTTTGATTCAAAATTGATTTCACAGCCTTCTCAACTTCAGAAAGATCATTGATGTCTACAGTCCAGACATGGGGCTTCCCAATGTAAACTTCAGCATAGGGGTGCTGAGATGTCAACTGAAAGGAAGATATTGGTAAAAATCAATGTGTCAAGATATCCTTTCCCCTGACTCTCTTAATCAGACTTTCTAGATGCAATGCACTAGGATAATGAAAGAATTCAGGTAGAATCTAGCACTCATCATCATTCCTTCTGAGTTGTCTTTAAATTTCAAGTGAATTTAGTGGAAAAACTGAAAATCAGATAACACAGATCACAAGTGACATACATGCACCTCTAATTTGTGGCTTTGATCCTCACAATGACCCATGTCACAGAAGACTTGATATTTACTGAAATGACCTAGACTGTGACTCTGCTTCCCCACAGCTCATCCACGGAGCCACCCTCCTTTTCCACAACCCATCAGTGACACCAGGCCTGGTTACACCTGCATGACTGGCTTCCAGAGAGGACATCCTCACCCTGTCTCTCCTAAACATCTCCAAAGTTCTGTGAGCAACAGTGAAGAAAGAGTAATTTCTATCACACGGGATGAGTTCTGACTCTCACTGCCGATAGTACAAGAGTAATTTGACCTTAGTAAAAAAGTATTAGCTGATATTTTGCTCACCATTTTGTCAGAAAACAAATTCAGTGAATACCTAAGCAGGTAACTAAGAAAAGCTGTATCAGAGTTGCCTTCACAACTAGCAGGACAGCACTAGAAGTAATTTTTGTGACAGGTTGCACATGGGTGAGAAGAACATGCAAATGAACACAACGAAAGGGAGTGAAAGCTACAGAAGAGGGGAGTGGTTCAGCCCAGCCTCAGGAAACAACTGCTTTTTACATAAATACCAAAAAACCCCACAGGATAGATTATTTATAGCCAGTGTTTAGACAGCTGCCTCTTTACGGTGCCTTTATGATCCAAAGCCATTGCAGAAGGTCTGAAGCAGGAAACGGCGTTTGTTGGGAAGAACCTTCTCCTGCACTAGGCAGACACTGCACTTGACCTGTTCCTCAAGTGAACACAGTTTGACTCTTAGAATTACTTTTAAAAAGAATTCTGTAGTTTTTAATTGCCTATTGCATTTTGCATACGGATGAGAGGTCAGTCTTATAGTTATATATGGGCTGAGCTAGCACAGACCTGTGGGAGCTCAATGCTGCAAGGACTCTGTGCAGGCTCTCACCTCCTGGCAGTGACTTGGGCTGCTCCTGCACACACACAGCTCCCACACCTGCCTACATTCACTGGCAGCCCACAGCACTCTGCTCCCATCAGCATATTTTAAATTCCTCCAAAAAGTCCAATGCTCCTGGAAGAATGACATAGTCTAACCTTCTTCCATATTATTTCTACTGCCACTAGAACTGTATGTACTTAAATAATTTGGGTTGCCAAGAATGAGTTCCCAGAGCACCTATGTCTGGACTTCACAGGCACATTCCTACTGCTTTCAGTAACAGCAAAAAACCTTCTACTGCACCTTCCAAAACTCTGACCACCACCCAGTGTTTTAAATTCCACACAGCTCTAGGAATTATTCCATAGACTGCAGTTTCTCTACCATCTCAGACAGACAGATGGCAACACTAAAGACAGGTCTGATCTGGAAGACAAACCACTAAACTTCTCAGGCTAGTACTTGGTTTAAGTATTAAGAGTAATTAGCAACATATTTTTACTGCACCAGTTATTCTGCATCTATACTACTGAAAACATTAAGACTATTTATTTCCTAATACTGAAATGCTTTAGTTAGCTGAGGCTTAATGTGTTAGATATTCAGGAGATGCTTCCTCTGTTTATAATTAAAAGCTGTAAAAATTCTTATAAAGTAGATTTGGAATTAATTTCGAATTTCAGGTCTTTCCTTTTTTCACTTCATAAAGGGAGCAAATGAAAGAAAGCACAGCCACAAGTACACATTTCAACTAGATTTAGCATACAATATTCTCTTTCTCTGGGGAGGAGCTGGGGTGGAATGGAAAAGAAATCAGTACAAATACTGAGACAAAACAAGATGCTTGAGGATGATTATTTTTTTTCCCTGTCTCTCTCCCCCATTTATCATGTCCCAAGATAAAACACTTGCTGACCTATTATGAAAACTGTAATTTCCAGTTTTTAAACAGTCTACAGGACCCTATCTTGGGGGTTAAGGGAACACTTTCCCCAAAATTCTGCCTGGAATAATAGAGAAATAGTTACTTGCAATGGTTACTTTACAAAAGTACTGAACACAGACTTCAAATTCATGTATGGATAATCATGTCACAGAACTACACAAGCTCTTTTTGTTCTCCTTTAACACTTGAAAAAATGGAGAGAAGCATTTAAGGACTTTCTTAATCCCAAAGAACCAGCACATGGATTACTGGCAATCGGATCTAACTGCACTTGTGAAAACCAGTTAGAGGAAAGGTTAGTCAGGACAGGTCAGCAGGGCATGTGAACACAGCAATATCCATGCTGGATACACATTATATTGCTTTGGACTAGAGCAGTCAATAGGATTATTTCTCTGTCCAAGTCAGGTGCACAGCATTTCTGTTAGTGCTGACACATGCCATTGGGATTTACCATGGCAAGCCAAGCACTGAAATTCCTACTAAGGAGTTAGATGGGTTCAGATTATTTACTGAGCCTGACCAGCTACAGTGTCTGGGCACAGAGCAACTGCAAATGAGACAAACAGTTGAGGGACTCACAGAAGAAAAGTTCTGGAAGGTGCCAAGCCCGAGGAGAAAGTTTAAACAGGCTTTTGTTCCCTCATTGCTGTCTCCTTTGTTAGAAACACAAGCTGTGAGAAAGGGCAAGTTTGAACTCATGTCCTGTACAAGCTGAATGTATAACAAGCTGAAAGGCAATTACAGTCCTGGATCATAAAATCATAAGGAATTTATGTTCCTGGTTTAAAATGGGAAACTGTCTTCTGCTTATCAACTAGTTGGCACTGCTCAGGACACAATTTATATGGCCTGAGCATGATCTGAATTGGGAATTACAGCTGTGCAAGGTTCTCATCATCTACATATTACCTAAGAGCTTTCTCTTAGGTAACTATGTAAAGAAAATATGTATATACACTTATGAACAAGCCACAGTCACAAACAAAAGTGCTAATGTCAGAAAAGGCTGCATGACTGTTAAATGCTTGGAAGTGCTACAGGCTGAATTTTACCTACACTGAAGAAGAAAAATATTCCAAAGTCAGTGCCAAGAAGAGGGGTAGTTTACTTAGCCTCATTCTTCTCTTACTAGAGTCTAAATACACAGGCTGTTTTGATAGCTTGAAGTTTGGTTTTCCTGTTCTCTTCAAGGGTCAGCTCTCCAAAAGCCTTCAGTGTTTAACCACAAACATGGTGGGCTGTGACCACTAATACCTTAGCTCAACAGTACCTTGAACAGGTTTTTTCTAGAGGAAAAAAAATATCCCAAACCACACAGAACCACCCACAAATACCATTTTCATAATTTACTTAAGCCTCTCTTGACTTCCTGCACAGTACATTGCAATGCCTGTTTCTTCAACGAAATAAACCCAATTTCAAACACATCCTGTATCAGATGATGATCTGTTCCCAGGTAGAACATCAGGTTTTCAAGAGAAACTTCAGTTTATGATGTATCAATAAGTAGCAGCAGAATGTAAGAAAATCTAGAGGCAAAGCTTAACAGTATGTTAATAAAAGCATTTTGATTATCATATAAAAATAAGGACTGATAATGCCATTGATGGCTAAAGAAAAAAATCCAGCTGCACACCTCTGGCAATAAACTTTGAACATTTATGCAATTTTTCCTACTATGTGTTAATAAATAAAAATCCACCATCATTTGCCGTAAGGAAAATACCAAGATAAAGTTTACCTCCCGGAGTGTTGGTTTGCCTTTGAAAAAATCTGTGTTTTTGCTACTTTTGGGTGGGTTGAATCTCAGATTTAGAAAAGCACATCAGGTTTGCCTTTGAAAAAGTCTGTGTTTTTGCTACTTTTGGGTGGATTGAATCTCAGATTTAGAAAAGCACATCCATTGGCAATAGCCTCTAGAGGAGCTGGGCCTTCGTATGGAAACCCTAGGCCAACGAACAGCTGAAAAACAGGAAACAAAGGCTATCTTAGTTTTTGTTATTTACAGAAACAGAAAGCTAAGAGCTAGTTTAAAATAAACAGTAACCCATTCTAAATGCACCAGCCTAAAAAAGAATGTAATGTTAAGAAGAAAATGGGAGAAAATCAACAGCTCACCCCCTCCCACCCAAACAGCAACGGAATGTCCTGTAAAACACATTTGACAATAATCTTCTGTAATGAGCTGAGGTGGTTTTTCATGGAGCTGAGGCAACAACAGACCCTTTCAGTTTGGTTTTCTGGGGTGGGGGAAGTTGGAGGTTTGATTGGTGTTGAAACTTCTGGGGCTTTCCTATACATCTGAGTTCTGATGCAACAACTTCATGGAACAGCTACACTACTGTTTCCCCCTCTCCCAGCCCAGCTAACCTGCTGGTTTGCCAACACCAACATGCTCCTAGCACACTTAATTAAAGGCTACTAATTAAAACGGTAGGTGGCAGCAAACATCAGCTGAAGACACTGTACAGAGGCAGCAAGAGCCTGCAGAGCCTTCAGAGGGTTCAACGCCTCCAAGGGAAACGAGGAAAAAAGCATCCAAAAGCTTTTCCTACAATCAGCTGAGGTTACAGGTGCTCTAGAAAAGGTAGTGATTTCTCCAAGGAAAAGACATTAAATGGTTTTTCAGAGTTGTCTGAAAAAATCTTGACGCCTTTCCTAGCACAGCATAGTTAAACCCCCTGAATTAGAGATAGGATTCTTCATCTTCATTTGAACGTCTGTGTATAATGGGAGAACTACAAGCTCTGATTTGTAAGAGCAATTTCTCAGCACTGCTGCATAACAATGTATATACAGAGAGCTACTGCTTTTTTCAAAGAAATAAAGCACAATCTTCATAACTATTAGGATCATGTATTCAGGATGTATGTATTCAAAGAGGTCAAATTACACTATTCTGCATTAAATCTTCTGCAACATGGAGATCATGTGAATGTATGAATTCAAAGAGGTCAAATTACACTGTTCTGCATTAAATCTTCTGCAACATGGAAATGAATCCTAGTAACAGAAGATTCACAGCTGGAGGCCCTTCCTGGGAGCTGATGCTAACACTGATGCATAAACCTGTAGTCAATGTATGAATTCAAAGAGGTCAAATTACACTGTTCTGCATTAAATCTTCTGCAACATGGAAATGAATCCTAGTAACAGAAGATTCACAGCTGGAGGCCCTTCCTGGGAGCTGATGCTAACACTGATGCATAAACCTGTAGTCATCTGGGAGCTGAACCTAACACTGATGCATAAACCTGTAGTCAGTCTTGTCATGCACAGGCACTGCAGCATCAATCCTCTCCAACCCATGGCAACAACAGTATAAATTTGGAGTTGGCTCATTTTAAAAAGCAAGTTAGCACTTCTCAGCATAGCTGAGGACATACAATTTTCACTTCATGGAGCTGAATATTGTTATTTCAGTTTCAATATTCAGGTTTAAAAAGTCGCCTACTTGCTAAAAGTTTCTCAGCTATCTCCCAGATTTACATCTTACAGAAACTCTTCAGTGGCTGATAAAAAGCAAAGAGATTGGAATACTATCTCCAGTAAAGCCACATTATATAAATTTGGGTTTTATATATGGCAAAAGATAGATTACCTTTCAGTCAGAAGAAATGTATGCTAAATTTGTCTCAAAGGAGGCTGAATTTACAGAAAGGTAATCTGAAAATAATGAATTATGGACAGGAAACCAATTCATGCAACCTGCACAAATTTATTTGAACTATTCCTTAGTTCAGGCAGAAAACCAGCTGAGAACCAGCAATTAGACCCATCTGAAGTATCAAGTCTCCTATGATCCTGTGTTTGTCTGTTATGTAGAGAACGCTGAGCTGTTTGCTTAGTTTTTCACTTTTTTAATAAACTGCTGCTGTGCACTGCTGAACAGTTCTGTGTCTGACTGGTCCATTTATTTAGGAGCAATCACCACAGGGAAAGAAACATGGGTTTATGTTTTGACAGCACCGAGCACACTGTCAACACTTAATCTATAATAAATAGCTTACCACCTGTTTCACATCCATTTCCCAACCTTACCTCTAAGCAGCACTGCACCTTTGAAGGAAGGAAGAAGGATGTGTCTGATCACTAGAACAGTGTGTGTGTGCATGCTGCCTCTTGGCCTGAGGTTGCAGCCTGTCTCACAGCTGTCTGCAACTCCTCCTAGGCCTTCCTCAGCCCTCCAAAATCTTCTATTACTCTCCATCACATTGTCACCAGGTCAGCTGAAATTCCCAAACTGAATATAGACCCTTCTCCTGAAAATTGCCCTTTACAAAGTGAAAGGTGTCCCTGCTCGTGACAGGGTGGTTGGAACTAGATGATTTTTTAAGTCCCTTCCAACCCAAAGCATTCTGTGAGTCTCTCTATGGTTAATGCTCCTTGGTTAGGGAGCCAATATTTTTGTATGGTACAAAGAGTAAAACTAAGAAATACCTTAAATGCCTCAAGAAAGTCACATTCATTATGATTAAAAGAGCAAGTACTGGTTGGGGAACACAAGACATTTCTGTAACTTGAGAGGCTCTAATTTGCTAATCCTTTGAATTACATGCAGTTTGGTATTTTCAGAAAGGCTAAAATAATCTGTCAAGGTACTTCCTAAAAGTATGCAACAAATACTGCACATCACCAATTGGAAAAGAAGTGACAAAAAGGTAGAAATAACAGTCAACAATTTTCAGGTACCAGTGAAACAAGCATCCCTCCTCCATACAGCTGAGTGTGAGGAAGAACAGGCTCTCTCCCACAAACCATAAAGATTTAGAACTGACAGTTTTTCACTATTTTGTGATATAAAAGTACACTGTTGCCTCCACCACACCATGGCTTTTAGGGTACTTTCTTATCAAACACTATGCCTGGTAACCCATTCCACCACGGAGAGGCATGGCTGAAGATCTATACTGCAAAACTCCAAATGTCACCATGTCGGCTATGTCACAGTGGGCACAAGCGGTGAAAAACACTAGCCCTGATCTTACTTTGTTAGCTGCAGCAGAACTGCTATGCAGAGTACAATTCCTTTATGCTTTACTGGTTTAGTGCATGAAACCATTTCATGTTCTCTGTGAGCATTTTTCTCACCTTTCAAATGTTTCTGAAAGCAGGAGCCATTATTTTTCATGCAGTGCTTTAGGTGGGCCCATGGCACAGTCAGCTCTGCATGGTGATGCCCCATGGGACACCATGATTGCCAGGAGGAGGTTACAGTACAAAAGTATATCTCAAGGGGTTAACAGAAAATAAATACAGATGTAAAATGATCATGGGAACAGCAGTGTGGGGTTTTTTACAAACCATTCCTTTTTAGTAAGGTCTGGCCAGCTACCCAGGTGTGTGTGTGCCCCTGTAGGTCTGCAGGAATCAAAAGAGGATCTGTATCTGCAATCTCACTTGCCCAACTCGAGTAAAGCAGGTGTGGAAACCCTTAAGCAGGAATACTTTGGTTTTCATAAAAAAAGGCTCCTCAGGAACCTTTTCTGCTTTTGCAATGAACTGAAACTCTGGTTTGGAATTTCAGACTTTTGGGTTGGCCACTCAAGCATCAGAGCAGTCAAAACACCACTTTTCTGATTATATTGTAGGCAGTCCTCTCACGGTGTAGTAATTAAGTGGAGACTTTCCTGAGACAAAAAGTGACTCAGAACCATTGCCATGAAAACACAGTGTGTTTTTGTGGTTTTTTTTTTTTTTTTTTTTTTGGAAACCACTGACTTTCAGTTGATAGTAAGAAATTAATTTGTGGAGTTTACAGCACCGTATCAGACTATTATTAAAATGAGGAAGTGAAAAAACATCCTTCCTAAATTATAGCCAAAAGTATAAAATAAGGAGTGAATGCTTTACTTCACTGACTGTAATTATGACTAGTTGAATATTTAAAAGAAAAATTTCATATTCCAGAGACTAAACGCTATAGTTCCATAAACAGGAGTATTTATTTTCTCCTCTCCCCTTTCATTTATTCTGTCAGGTTGGTAGGTTTATCACCACTTTTGTCTGCCTCCTTACTCAACTTTTATATTCTCTTCTGAACTACAGGCAGAAAAGTATAGCAAAGGTGAACTATCTTGCAATATTTTTCTCATGAATATAAAACACTTTCTGGAAAAGTCAATCCTTTTGTGATTGAAACAACTCGAAAATAGAATCACTAGTTAAATGTCTTTTCAGCTGATTTTGTGAAGTGTGTGGAAGTAAAAAGATCTATTACTTCATCACCAGCAGTATGAAAAAGAAGTTTGTTCTCCTGTTTCTGTCTAAACAGGGCGTTGCTCCTACTTTTATGAATCACCATTCTTAGTAAAAGAATTAGAAAAAAGTAAACTTAGTAAAAGAATTCAAACTGCCTCAAAAACTCACAGCGGCTTGAAGCAAAAAGTTGCATCAGAAACGTTCCTGAAAGGAGAAATATTTCTCAAGAATTCAATACTGGTTCTTCCAAGAGAGTCTGGTCCAACTCCTCCAGCTGCCCACTTGGCAAGGAGCCATGCAAGTTGGCAGGAAGGCTGCCAGCTCGCCTACCCTATTTTCCTCCGACGTGATGAATGGCTTTACATCTTCTCATTAGAAACTGCAGACATGTCTCGCTTTTGTCATGCTCTACACAGCTGAACTAGCCATGATGAATCTCAAACAGCCCCTCCTGCCTGGAAAACTCACTTATCCTGAAATGTGCTGCTTTACAGCACACACCAGAACGAAATGGCAGCTGCATGTTTCCGGGAATAACTGTGTCCTACACCACCTACTGCAGAGACCAAATACATTTTGGGAACGCAAAGCTCTGATTAAGAATCACAACTGAGCTGTCACCTATTGGTATTTTGCTGTCTAAGGACAAAATGAAGCAGTGCAACACAAACTGACACTTCGGAGTACGCTGAACCATGTGATTTGCTAAATTATTATGTAGCTCTCACTTTCTGAAAACCAGAACATTTGTCAGCTGACCTAACAAAAACTTGCTAACACAGTGCTGAAATCGCATGCAATGACAGACAATCCTTGCCCTTGGTCTCAAAACATCTGAAAGTTTCTGGAAGCTTAAAGACAAAGGTTGCTGCCTGGAGACAGCAACAGCAGCCCTGGATGGTTCAGGCAAGCATTGTACCCACAGATGTTCCCAGCCCAGAGTTACAGCTCTGATTATCCACACACTTGCAGCACACGGATAGTCTGGTGACAAAACCCCATAACTAAGTTCATTAGGGGACTCTGGTCATGTTGCCTAGTGAATAAAGTGATTATGATCAAAAAGTGTCCTTAAACATCACTGGATGCATGTGCACACACACAAGGGGCTCCTCAGGGCACAAAGCTCCCATTCAAGTCAGCTTGATTTTTGTGGCAAACCTGCACTTATTTTAGCAATTCAATCCGTGACCCATTTGGTATAAACACAATTGACCCACACAGACAGCAGATGGCCAGCAGTGACAGGTGAGCAGTGTTTTATACCAAGCCAAGTTCAAGTACTGTCTCTTTGAGGGCATCAGAATCTGAATGTACAAGCAACAAGAAGACTTAGAGCAAGAATGTCTGTTGATCTACACTGACAGGTAACCATATGCTAAGGCAGAACAGCCTGAGTACCTATGAGATACTAAGATTCAGCTAGCAAAGAGTAAAAACCACACCACCCCCAAAATCCACCTCCAACTGAAACCATCCAAACAAATTATGTAGTAAATCTCAGTTTCCACTTTCAGTCTCAGGGTGCTGATGTTTTACTTTTTGTGTTCAATTAGGTATATTGAAACAGTATTAGACAGGAATAATGAGCAAAATTCATGATGAAGTAAGCCATATTTAATTTGATTTCATTGCAACTTCAGAAATACATTGCACTCCCATTTCCCTGACAATAATAAGCAGAAGGAGATGGACTCTTAATGGCTTATCATCAAGGCAAAGTTTTGTTAGCCTGACTGCATCATAAATAAATAACTTCCTTAAAAAGGAAAACAGCTCTTGCCATTTGCAAACCTGCTAACAGAAGTTCAGGAAAGTCAGATGAAAATACTGTTTGCAGACTTCGTTTTTTTAAAAAAATTAAGAAAGATTGCATTAAAAAGGTAATACTGATAAAACTGATTTTCTGATACACAGGGCTCTGAAACACATCATGTTTTTGTCAGTGCCACCTACCAAAAAATGCAGCAAATTCTTAAAGGATTTTCCCCATTGTTATGAAGGAAAAAACCCTGACCATAACCAATGCACAACAATAGTATAGAAAACCATTAAAATCTAAAATGCTAGTAGGGCTCCAACAACAGCAGAGCACAGATCCAAGCTTTCCACCAAAACCTTTCCGTGAAAAATAAGCAACTTCCTATCTCAGGAGCACTTCACATCCATGAGACAGTCCTTTCCATCTGATACTGCAACTACTGGTCCAAACTGAGAGAAACTGCTCTGCTACTTCTGTGCCACAAAATCCACATAACTAAGCTGCATAACGTGTAGCTATCAACTTGAATGATAAACTGAATGTTTTTCCATTGCATCTTAGAGCAAATCTAACCACTAACAGCTAGATGAGCTACCTAGGTTAATACTGAAAAACAAGTTTTTTAATGTGATACATGTCAGGTGGCTGATAAAGAATTAGAGGAAGACTTGGCTAAACGTAACTATTATCATGAACTGTTATTTGTCACTTACAAGGACTTCAGTAAGTCAGGAAGTCCACTAGCTTATTTTACTATTTCAGTGGCTAGAACACACGGGTTTTTTTCACTGTTCATGCTTGGGGTTACTACAAGGTCAATATTCTTCCCACATTATGATTAACACAGGGATTTCATACTCCACACAGGCAAAGGCTGTGTAATCTCAGATTATCTGTGACGGAAGTAAACGTTGACTTTTTAATATGCAACATGATGTGTATCTGTATGCACCAAGTACATACACAGTGGTTGCCTCTAAAAACTCTTAATTTACCAACAGCTGTCACACAGAGATGTCAAATTACCATCATTTTCCCAAGTACTTAAAACCAGGAGATCTCTGCAGCCGTGTGGGAAGCCTGGGAGGTGCTTGCTATTTTCTTTTCTTTTTGAAATAGATTTTTTTCTGTGAATGTGCACAGCAAGAAACTATCAACAGTGGGTTTTTTAAGTAGATTTTTTTCTGTGAAAGTGCACAGCAAGAAACTATCAACAGTGGTGCACTTCCACTGACTTTCCTAATTTTAAACACACAGCTCCCTTCTTTCACCAACTTGAAGTTAAACATCCTATTTAAATGTAATCTGCTAAAGTGTTTTACTGTTGCAAAGCGTCACAAAGATTACAGGAGAGCCACAGGATCCTGACAAAGCATTCCAACTGTGGAGACACAAGTTTGTTTATCTCAATGTATATACTGTCCATTATCTTGAGCTGCCTTGACTCTGGAGCCACAGGCAAGGCACATCACAAAAAGCATGCTCTTTTGCTCACTCTCTCTGCACAGCTGAAGCAGAGGAAGGAGCTGAATGGCAAATGAAGTGCTTGCTTTTCTCTTCTCCCTGAGAGAGCAGGGTCGCTCTAGGTTAAAGTCACTGGTAGGGCAGAGCAAGCATGAGACCGTACAGCCTTCAGATGTTACCTAACTTTGACCCCAGGGATGTAAAACAAAGCACATTCTCAGCTGATAATCTCCTTGAGCTGAATATCACATTTAAGAAAATGAAAAATGCACTTATCCCTGTTTCTCAGGCTGGTTGTTAAATGTGACTGTAGGTTGTCATCCCAATTTTCTAATAATAGCTGTCAATCCACAAAACATGGACATGATGAAAAATGTATTCTCAGCACACAGAAGACAACTTAAGCTCCTTTACATTTGATCATTTTTTTTCCAGTGCTTTTCAATTAGGAGCCTATTCATAGGAGGTGAAATGCCTGCACTTCAGGCACTATCTGGGGCTATTTTTGCCACCACTCCTGCTTGACAAACTTACTTTGGTTTCTCTCAGTAGAAACTGCAAATCCCTCCCGCTGAGTATGCCATGGTTCTTGACATAGCCAGGAATGTACATGGTGCTTGTCCCATGAACAGTGCCATGGACCTCCATATAGGTGTGGATGACATCCAGATAAGCCTTCTTGTCCTGAAATGGCAATGATAAAATATTTTCAGCCTTTACAAATTTGAAGCAGCAGTATTCAATCACAGCTGGGTTTTATCTCCTCTACCACCAAAGCCAGGATCTTCTTGTGAAGGAGGAGTGATGAAGTTCACTCATTCTTATTTGATTTCTATAATATCTGATCTTTCATTACATTATTATGTTGGTTTTTATTAGACTGGAAGAAAACTGCAGCTTTTCAATTCAATACCAAGGTCCTCTTAACTTCCAATTGGACAAAACTCAGCACACCATCAGACAGCTGTAATCTCAGCATGCCTACATAATATTTGGCCTAAAAACCACTGAAAACTCATTTTGAAATAGCAATTTTTCACTGTTTGTCAGATGCAAAATAATTAGTTTATCTTCTTTGTGAAGCAAAGGGTGAATGTCACCTTATCAAGATACAGACTTGCCAACTGATAACTGAGCACACATCTTTATCTAAATACCCCATATGTGAGTCCCATGAGGGACAAATATTCCACTTACCTAAACTTTTAAAGGCATTTAAGAAAAGACCCAAAGAAGAGTAATGACTTTAGTGTTGCATTTATAAAAAAGAAATTAAGGAAAAAAACAGTACACCATCCTAGTTTGCAAACAAGAATTACTTTAATTTTCAATGCCATATGCTTTTTGAGTTTTAAAGACTACTGGCATTCCAAAGGCAATTAGCTGAAGACTGTATTTACAGGCAGTAGCAGCACAGATCAGGAGACTTTCCCTCAATATTTGCACATACTCTTAGTAATAGCTCTAAAATCAGGCAACAAGTTTCTACACTTCTTGGCAGCAACTGAGTGTTTCAGAATTCGACTTTCACTCACTATTTTTGTCATGTAAATTCTGTACACTGCTCCACTACAGCATTGTGGAGTCCTAAACTGGGCAGCAATTCTACTGAAGTTCATAGAAAGGGCAAAGAGACTGGGGAAAATCCTGTCTTTTCAAATCCTGGAGGAGCACTAAGGTGTCAGGCCTAGGTGAATGAATGCTATCACTTCTCACAGCTTCCTTGCTAACTCAGTTGTTGCTACACATTCGAATGCACAGGGTATTTAATGCACATGACAATGGGCTCAGCCTGCTCTGTGCTGACCCTGTTTGTGCTGAAGTGGATGTGCTGCCTCATTACCAAATCGCCCTGTTCAGGCTGCTATGCCAAGGCTGCCCCAGCCAGACAATGTCCTGGGCTAAGTATTACATAAAACAGCCAACAAACGAAGACAAAGATGCTTTCTGTTCCATGTGGCTGCTGTTATTTTTAATGAATACAAAATATTCAGAAAACTAAAAGCCTGCTCTATTTTTGACTTTTCTTCAAATATGAATTACTCCAAAAGAGATGTTCCTCATGTTATTGGTAAAGTCAAACAGTGCAATTAGAAACTGCTGAAAGCTCATATAGTTTGTTAAGAGATAATCTGTTTAGAACAACTCTTTTGGAAATGTACAGGAGAAATGCAATGGTGCAGCTTGGCTTTCTTTCCAGACTGCAGCAGTGGTCAGTTGCTGGAGGACACCTGAATCCTGACTGCCTGGCTTCTAGCACATCCACAGCCTAGGAGTTAGCCCCCAGGGTTCTGCATGGGAAGAGAAGGCAAGGAAGCACAGGACATGATCTGTGTGTAGTAAGAACACCAGAGCATTTGCCCCAGATTTAATTTGTCCACAACACAAAATCCAAGGAGATGAACACACTCTAACTCCTGAAAAATCTGAGAAGCAAGCAGCTAGAGAACAAAACCAGGATTACCTAAAATTGGGCTTCTTTTAAAGACTTCAGTGGCAATTCCACAAACCTGTTAGAGAATATTTAGCTGCTCTAAAATAAACGTTGATGTTTGAATTTGACATTGAAATTGTTTAGCCTTTACAATCTTTCAAATGGTTCCTGAGGAACTGCCTTACTGACTGTAGAGCTGTTGAAGATTTTATATTGGTTCAAAAAGCAACTATGGAAGAAAAATCCATGCGCCATTATAAAACAGATACCCACAATGTTTGGCCCAAGAAGTCCATGAGCTCAGTCTCTGGTGGCTGTGAAACATGCCTGATTTCCCTTTCTTCCTTACATTTCAAGTTTTGGGAGTCAGAATATTAAACTAGATAAATCATTGATCTGAACTGGCCTTGTCGACACTTTATCATCTTCATGAGCTCATTTTCAAGGATGAATGTAAAATGGACCAACTGTTTACATGTGATGCCAATAAAAATCTAGTGGAATTCTCAAAAGGATCTCTGAAGCTGCCCCCAACATGGCCTCAATTGCCCCCAGCATGCAGTAGTATTTTGGGGGACAGAGTGAGGGCTTTTACTTAAATCTCTTAATGTTTTAAGTCATAAGGACATGTAAAAATATTCCCGATAAATTCTAATTGTGACCAGAGACACAAGTTATATTTAAAATTAATATATAGCCAAACAATACAATTTAGGAAGCCAAAGCAAAAGCAGTGATAAAATCAGCATGTTTTAAGCATCTCTGCATGTGCAAGCAAGACATTAACCGTCCATAACCTTAACTGGAAACGTTACTCAACCGTATGACTGACTTCCTTCCTGATTCAGTCTAAAAGCACAGAAAAAACATTTAGTATACCAAACAGAATCAAAGCCCAAACACCCCCTTACTTCTTTATTTCCTTATTTATTTCCAAGACAAAAGCAAGTGCTGTTATAATCAGCTATGAAGCACCATAAAAATACTATTAGCACCTTATGCCTTACCCAAATCTCACTAATATTTGTCTCCTTTTGCAATTAAGTAGTCCTGAATTTCCTTATTCCTTTCAGAAAAGTGGTATTTTGGATCATGAAAGTATATATTCTAAGAAGTCACTTCACAAACATAATCAGGACATGTAATCTAATTCTAAACATTACAAACACTGAATTGGAAATTGAGAGAGTGTAAATATGGCATTTATAAATAGAAAGGCTACAAGTAAACATTGTGACTTGCAAGCTAAACATCAACATTCCTTCAACTATTTATCCATTTCCTGAGTTTGCTTGCTTGGGAGCAGATATAATTATTCTTTTACCTTAAATCACTTGACAGTAAACTCCAGATGAATTCTAAGAGACAAGGCCATGAGCTGCTGGCTAGTAGTGCAAACCCAACATTCTCTGCAGATTGTATCAGTCTGCACTATTCACCCATGCCTGCTGTCCATTCTGCAAACCCAGACTTCGAGTGTGGAAGATAACCACATCAAAAAGCAAATTATTTCTCCTCAGAAGCAAAATGGAAGTATAATAATGAGTAACAGCTATACAAACCTTTTCTGAAACAATTTTTCAGCAGCTAAAATAAACATGCCATTCAGGAAAGTACTTTCTGTTGATCACTGACTGCAGAACTGTTATTACTGTTCATCAATCATTTCCACCTACTTTTAAAAGCATCCTGATAAGGCTCTTCTCATCAAAGAAATCAAGTGACAACTGTCTGACAAAAAAAAAAAGTTGACAAGACAGTATGAAATTTGGTGGGTGACAAATTTAAATATAAAAGCTACAAAAATACGTGGTAGAAACATGATGCACTAAGAACTAAACTCTGCTTTTAGTTTTCTCCACGTAGATGGTGGTAATTAACAACTCTGCTTTACCATCAGATTGTCAAGGTAATGACAGTGTTTTGCAATTCTGGACCATCTGGGTACCCTCAAAGAACACCATAAATTCAGCACTGAATACAACATACACAGAACTACAGGCCAATTACATTACAGAAGAGCTTGATTCAGAGTCCTAACAGCTTTATGGGTTGAAAGTTCAGGCTGGAAAATGTCTGTAATTCAGACCATATATTCAGTTTGCTTTCATACACTGAAAAATTCTGAAGGCAATGGCTTTATAAAGCTTGACAAATGTAATTCAGAAAAGTAAGTACTGGCATACATCTTCATGTATATCCTAAATGCACACTGTGAAGTCTAGAAGTCCTAACATCTGGGTGCTTATCTGTTGAAGTCTCAAGCCAAAAGTAAGCCAAAATGCAGTGTACATGCAATGTATGACAATTGAGATTGTGACACAAACATAATCTCTGTTCGAGAACTGTCAGACTCTCAAAGACTTTTCAAGACATCCTTGAATAATGAAAATCCTGTCTACCAGGGAGCTAGAAGAGAGCACAAAGGCTGGGGAATATTAAGAGAGTTAAATACAGACAGTGTTTAACTGTAACAGATTTACAGTGGTAAATCACAAAGTACAATGCCTCTTGGAGCTCTGACATGAAATTTCCAAACTGCATTTATAAATGGATCTGGAGAGGATGCAGGGACTCATGACTAGCAAGTGTGAATTCTACTGTAAACAAATTACCTGAAACTTAACTAAAGTGTTAACTATGTAAACATATACAACCATCAAAATTAGAATAGTCTATTCTTCCTATCCACCAAATTGCTGGTGTTCTCTGAAGAGCCAAGCAGCACATAGAAACTCTTTAAAGTTAATGAAATCTCTCTGGGAAAGACTGGAAATCACTGATGTGAATGAACAGTCATCATGTGAAAGAGAACAAAAATATGCTGTCAGTGCTATTCAGAGTGGCAAAACTCTTTAACTTCAAAATGTTGCAGAAAAACATCGGAATATTGAACACTTGGGGGTTTCAAGCTTTTGAAAAAGATCTCTCAGCAATCTTAGGGACAGAATGACTAGGAACAGAATATCCAATAAATTCAATACAACTAGTCACACACATGTTGAAAACCCCCTGAGCTAAGCAGTGTCACTCAAGAAAGAAGACTCTGCATTATGATAATATCTGATTATGGTCCATGAAAAAATCAGCCCCATGTTCAGTAGCAGTCAGTGTACCCACCAACCAAGTAATTGATAGGAATTATCTGGGAAGGAATTGAGAAATTAAGAGAATGTTATTGAACTGTTCTATAAAAGCTGTTCTGTCCCTCCTCAGACACCCCTGGGCTTCTGGTCCCTTTTCTCAAAAG